AGAAGTGGGGGGAGACCGGATCAGTCATCGCGCCGGTACAAGTAGAGGACAGGGAAGTCTTTAAACAATAGAGTCGTGGTGGAAAGGGTGGTCATGTGCGGACGGGTGACGAATTTTAAATGTGGTCGCCTATCAACATTCACATGCCTACGACGTCTAGTCGTGGCAGAGACGTAAAGTTCCGGAGATTTAGAATAAGAAGTGTCCTACGAATCAGGTAGAGTGTGAGGGAGTGGAAATAGGCGCTAGTAGACACAGGAATGCACGACAACAGTAGTGTCGGTAAGAGTGGTATTGAGAATTAACTGGAAGGTAAAACGGAGTAATGTGTTTGCCGATGATTCGGGATACGTATAGGAGCCACCCAGGAATCGAGCTATCTGACGAAACAATATAATGTTAGCGCCACGATTGGCGTCAAATATAACGAAGTGGTAGTTGTAAAGTGAAGAAATTTATAATCAATGATATGAACAGATTTCTATCTGAGCAACGAGCGGTTATCGATTGCACGTCAAAGTACGTAGAGTTAGGAAGCCGGGATAGAGATTGTTTGGGAAGGAAGAGGAGCGTGATATGTACGGGTGTATTATTGGAGGAGCTGATAAACACTGATTAGAGCAACAGGTTGACAGCATAGAAGTTATTAACTGAAACAAAGAGAATAAGTGATGATTTATTATAGAAAACAAAAGGGTGTTTCAAAAGGACTATGTTCAATTATTTAGACGTATTTCAAAGTTCGTTCAAGTTACAACCAGTAATAAAGTGGAATTCAAGAACTGTTTGAATGTAGTACGAAAAATTTATTGAATGTGGGCATTTCAAGAGGAGATTGTCGACATGGAAATATGTTTACGTAGCGAAAGGTGGGAAGAAGGAATACCAAGATTAGGAGCAATTCATACTTCACAGTGAGGACAGCTTGCTCATCAACCATCCGGAGCGAATAATGAAGAATTGCTCAAGATTGGTTAAGAACGTCTGTAATGATGACATAAATGAAACAACTGATCCGAATCAATGTTTTGGTTTGAACAATTCCCTCATGTAAGCACTGGTATTACACTGGAGGGCCACATTTTCAACAAAACGCCTCATATCTTTGTACGCATTGGAGAGACCGAATTATTCAAGAGAAGCCATGGAAGACCAAGGAGAACAAATATACAGCACTGGTGAAATGGGAAGAAAGGGAAGGCGAAAACTGAAGAAGCTTACCATTTAGTGAGGGCAATCGGTAATTGTTACGGGTTTCCAAGGTGTCGACGTCGAATCTTAAAATTGTAATGCAAATTTTTTCCATTATGACGAGGGTCGTACATTATAGAACGTGACTGACAAGAATGTGGCTAGATTATTGGAACGATAGGCAAGAGGTGGTAGGACATTTAATTTACATAATCTAGACCATGTCTACAGTGAGAAAGTATGTAAAACCTAGGGCGTAAGGTACTCACTCATTTTGTATAGAAATGGAGAGATGATTATTAAATTAAGATTTATGTAATTAATACTGAATGTTGTGATTACAGTACTTTGGAAATCATTTTGTATGTTGTAATTATAAAATATTTTAGCTCTAAGAAAGTTCTTTGTAAGGTAAGAATAAACATATGGTCCTAGTATGTTAATCATGTACCATCGATTTTGTGAAAAATATTGTACTTGAAAAATCACATATTTTATGAGATTGTTATACATTTGTTCGGCTTGGATTATATTAGTGATTGGATTTTCTTTGGCAGAAAAATCGAAAAAAGGGGTGAGGGGGTTGATGAAGAAGAACGTTTCGCATGATAACAAGCAAAATTGATAATTAAGTTCTAAGTAAAAGAAGCACTAAATCGATCAGCGTATAACGCCGCCGGCGTGCACAACGTCAACCGGGGGCAGACGGCGAGGCGAGCTCGACCGGTTAGTCAGCAATATATCATATATATAATATATATATATATATATATATATTATATATATATATATATATATATATATATTATATATATATAAATAAAACTAAACTAATTAGCATGTAATAGATGTAACAGATGTTTTGTGCAAATCTTTGGTTGCCGGCTTTATCCATAGGTTAAGTTAGAAATAAGTTAGTAAGAACTACTCCTTTCTTTACCGCATAAGCCAAAGAGCTGCGGCACATGTAATAAACATGATAATCAACTCCCGCCTCGCCAGGGCTACTGGAGGGGGGAAAGTTGAAAAAGCTCTAACAAACCGCCTTAAGAGCGAGGTTTTGTATGTATGGACATCTATGTAAATAAACTTTTATATACTGACTCGTGTCTGTTTTCCTTGTGGCATAGGTCCCTACCCACGACGTTGCACGGCGCGCACTCCGTATTGCACTAGATATTGGCACCAGCCGCTCTACTGAACACCTAGCCAGGAGAGCAAGACTGGGGCAGCGTCGGCGACCGGAATATAATCATCGACCTGGCGCCCGGAAAGAGAATAGTTTGTGACCATTGGCACAACTACCGCACGCCAGGCAGGTGCAATTATCTGCCCCCCCCCAACACAAGGGCCCCAAAATTTTTTCTTTTTGTGTAACAATTTAAAGGCTCCATCTGAAAGCGATTTGTTTATTACTATAATTCGACTAGTGTAAAGTTTGAGTTACGTTTTCCAAATTTGTTATTGGACATCCAGGGACCCAAATTATTTATTGTTTCATTTAAAATTGTGGCGGACCCCTTTCTAGGTTTCTTTATACGTGATTTGAAACATTTAATTAGAACAAAAAGGAATTCTGAAGTCAAAGGATTCAAATGTAATAAACGGGGACCCCACCCCGAGCCCCGCCCAAAAAATATTAAAAATAAAGTCTTAACATATTGTGCATAGAGAGTGAAGTGACAAACTCTTAAAAGCGAACCTGGGCGATTTTATAGATCATCTCGTCAAAGCCAGAGTACTCGTGACTCAATTCTGAATTTGGTAATTGATTATGATTAATAATGTTCCTTTCAATTAGTTTACAGCACGCTTTTATTTAGTTTGACAAACTTTTTTGAGGAGGGCCGCCATTTAGTTTTTGAATCCCTGGCCCCAGGAGGGGCGTAAGAGACCGTTATTGTGGTCGCTACGCTGATCACACTGTGTGCTATGTTTTACCAGTTGGATAATTATTGATCGAACGAATCGATAATTGTTGTACGAACTGGTACATCTTCTGTTGGTACGGAATACGGCTACGAACTTGGTGCTTTCTTCATTGGCGAGTGGTAGATCTGGCATTGTTATTGTGTAATTGGATAGTGACTTTTTGACTATATCGCTCGAGAAGCACAATAAACTGTGTTGGTAGAAACATATCTTCCTACTTGTTCTTACATTTCACTAGGGTACAGCGAATCAGAAGCTTCGGCATTTGCACATTGTTGTCACCTAAATTAAGGGGAAATGTTACAAGCAAACAAATGTTACGAATAAACGTAACAAATTTTAACGAACAAACTTTTTAGGAGTTTCTCAGCATTCCTTTGTTATACTGCGATTTATTTACAGCTCCTCTGACAGGTCATCCGTTGTTACGGTGTCATTCAATCGGGAGCTTACACGTCACAACAGTGATTTCACTATGATGACGTTAAACCTTCTGATTGGATGATACTGTAACACCAGCTCTAAATAAATCCAAGTATAGTATTGAGAGCACGTGATAGAGTGCGCAGAATGCGGAACGCCGCCCCACGCCAGTCCCAAATGTCAACTATATTCTAATTTGATTTTATTAATCAATTTTGACTTTTTTTACTTCACTGATTTCTAAGAGGCCTGGAATTAAGAGGAAATTCCGATATATTATAGGTTTCTAATGAAATGACGGTGGACTCTTCTGATCTCCCCCATACATCACAGTGTTTACTGGTTTTTGGCTAAATAAATCAAGACTCTCAGGAGAATTTGATGGGAATGTTATGAATTAATTTTGTTCACAGCATTGATTCTAAATAGGTTTATCATATAAATTAATTTTAACAAAATATAGGCTTATCCAGAAATATTTTGGGTGTTTTTTTCCTTCAGAGAGAGCAATATATCTCTGCAATGAAAGTAATTTTTCTTCTGTTAATATAAGATGGAAAGCGATTTATGATAATCACTGGTGGATTTACAACATTGGGGCGTCCCTGGGCACAACACACCGTGCCGCCCTTTTTTCTATTCTTTACTTTTCAATAAAGACAAAGATTCAATAATATATAAAGAATATATTGAATTAATATTACAACTTTTGTATAATAAAATGAATAACATTACGCAAAATAAGCAAAAAATCTCTTTCTTCCCGCTGATTGGGCAACGAATTTGTCAATGCAATCATCACAGTTCATTGATTTTAAAATTTTGGATTTTATTGCCAACAATGCAAGCGCAATGAATCGATCATCGATCATTGTTGATCTGAGATGTTTTTTTTACTTGTTTCAAACATGAAAAAGATGTCAGGGCTGCTATTACGTTTCTGTAAGCAGATAATCCTCCGCTATGCAATATCAACATTGGAATACACGAAGAAACTTCATCAATTCCAGTTTTCTAAGAGCAATGTGTTTAGAAATGTAACATTTCATTTCCTACTGTGTCACAGACGTTTCCCAACAAGTATGATGTTTCTTGTACATTGCATTCAAATTTCTAAAATTATAAAGGTCGTTCCACTGATCTTGTAAGCTTCGTTTCTTCGAGTTAAGTCACAAACTAAGTTCTCTAAAATCACATAGAACGTACTGATTTTGAAGTGATCGTGGGCCAATTGTTAGTTAATTTATTAATTAAAATATAGCACTTTATCATCAATTGAGTTAAAACGTGCTCCAGTCTACAAGACATATTTTTGGGGCAAACAGAAATTCAAGTGATTTTTTTTATTACTAAGCGAGATAGCACGAATTGAAGCAAAAATAGCGATGAAAATGTATTCGATCCAATATTTACGCTTGTTATTTACTTCAAGAACGGTAATTTAATAAATGTGTTTACATAAGAAACAATATATGCTTTGACGTGCTGAAAGTTAAAGTATTGAAAACAATTGGATTTTCACAATTACAATATTGTTCTTCGCTGGCCAGCTGTCCGAGCGCAAGTGCCTTTATTCAACTAGAACAATTATGATTCCTGTCAAATAATTTTTCGAATAAACAACTTTTGGATAAAAAAAATTCGTATTAATCCACCTTTGCTGACATTTTAGTCACTTGATGCAAGTAACCTTCTTGCATGTTTCCTGCATCATGGTGTGTCAGAAAGAACACAAAGCAATAACTTTCAATGTGGAAAAAAAGCACTTCATAATAACATTGAATAATGGTATCACTTATTGTAACAAATATTGGAGCCCACAATGATCAAAGCTCAGGACCTGATCCTTTTAAGAATTCCTGGGAGTAATTGGATTCTCTAGAGTACAATTTTCACTTCACGTAGTCACGAGCTGCTTTCTCAGATTCTTTCACTGCTTCTTCAAACGAAAGACTCTGGGTCTGTTACTCGTCTCATCGGTGAACTATGCGTTTCTCGTGACGGGCTTCAACTGTCGTCGCGCGTCCAGCAGGAACGTCTTTTGCGCCCGGGCGTGCCTCATGGCGGGCGGGGCGGAGTCCACGGCGACCGGGGCGTTGAGTAGCGGGGAAGCACGGCCGACGCCGCGGTCGCCACCTGCTGGGAGGCCGTTGGCAGGGTGCGGGGCGGGGCTGCGCGTGGCGGCAGCGGCCGCGGCGGCAGCCACAACGGCGACGGGCGAGCGCAGTGGCGGCAACGGCCGAACGTTGACAGGGTTGCGCAGCGCCGGCGCCGGCGCAGGCGTGGGCGTGGGCGTGGGCGAGGGGGCGAGGGCGAGGGCCTTGCGCGGCACGGCCGCCTTTCGCGCGGCGGCGCCTCCTGCGGCTCGGGCGGCTCCTTTTGCGAGCGGCGGGCTCTCCGCCGGAGTAGTCGCCGGGCGAGGGTAGTACTCGAGCACTCCGCGGGGCCCGTTGGGGCGGCGCTTGGCCGCTGCTGCGGCGACGGGGGCGGGGACGGCGGAGCTGGAGGTCGCAATGGTCGGCGGCAGGAAGTCGTTCAGGCCAGTCAAAGAGGCCACCCTCTGGCGCATGGCGTTATCCTGGAAAGATATTGCATATATTGTCAAACGTATGTAAGGTTTGTAGCACATACGCGTGTTGTTCCGAAAGTAATGCCTTCCATTTATTTCTATGACACTATAGTAAACCAAATTTTTTAAAAATGTCCTAATACAATTGTCTTAGAACAAAGTGTTTTGAACACAACACTATTTTTTAATATAGTCCTCTCATTTTGCACGCATTTTCTCCACTACTGAACAAGACCATGCATGTAAAATCTCTCAGCCGAGGTGACCAGAACGGGAATTCTTATGGCACCATTCCCAGGATTGTCGACTCATTTTGTTTCTGGCTCTTAATGGTGACACCAGTGATTATTCTATCCAGAAAACCAGCATTTTCAGCATTGGGTCAAAAGTTTCTTAAAAGCTTCCATTAGGTGCTGTATGTGTTCCTGTGTACAAATGATCGCGGGCACACCTTCCGCAAAGTTTTCAGTAACTCAATTTACTCAAACCGGGAGAGGTAATTCAGAGCATCATTTGCTGTCACGTACAATCCTGCTGACCGAAAGGTATTAGGTTCGAGTCTCGACGGTGGTAGGATATTCGACACTAGCTTGTCAGCTAGGTCGAATTCAGTCGCTATCTAGAGGAGAATTCTAGCGGCCGGCTGCTAGTTTTCCGTGGTTTCGCCGATCAACACCTGGCGCACGCGGGAGCAGTACCACAGCAAACGGGTCCAGACCGCGCGCGTTCTTTCCTACCTCTTCCTTGTGCTATCCGCACCATTATCACTAACATGTTCCACACTATCACACTTCCGGGAGACCGGTCAAGAGCTTAGAGGTATACCGGCTGAAGCGGTGCCCCGCTGTTGGAAGATACCTGGTTGTCCGAAACTCCTCTAGCCGACGGTAGGTTGGCTCCGGATCTCGCCATACAGTGAGAGAAGACCACCGCCACATCCCAAGCACAAACCTACACTACACTTACGGGATTAACGACCACCGTAATCTACACGCCCGGAATCACGAACAATCAATCACTTTACTCAACGGTACCTCTAATGCATGGCAGCCAATGTTCAGCGCCGTACGCAGGTCCCCAGTATCGTAACATTCCCCCCACCCCCATGAACCTATTCGCATGGATGAGCTGATCGAGGCGCTCCTAATTGCGTGATGAGGCAGCAGTGCGTGGACGACCGCAACGTTCTTTGTCTTTCACTTCGTTGTCACAACCGCTGTACTTTTATTCAGTCAATGTTATCGTCAAAAGTTCAGCAAATGTCTATGAATGTCAATACGTGAAATTTCCTTAGGAGTGAGACACAATTAATGCAATTGCAAAGAAACACGAGTTGTTTTTAATTAATGAATGCATTTGCGCATCTGTATACCATAGGGGAATTTGGGAGCGTATACGTCGCTAAAGTAACGTTACTATGGGATGATGAAGCTCCCGATTGGATGAAACCATGAACAGATGATTTACGTCAAGTGCACGGTTAAATGAATCCTAGAATAGGTTACGGGCATGGCTCCTATGCACGCGTCTCCCTGCCCCGCTTGAAAATCATAACCCCTCAACCGTACGAACTGCTCAAGGCCATGTCAAGGTATCAGAAAGTCATAGAACTGGGTTGTGACGCTTTGTGCGTTGAAAGACACGGCAAGCAGTCTGAATTCAGCCATTAGGCAGTAAGGTTTATATGTGTCAACTCAGAAGCTGTCAATGGAGAGTTAGTATTCATTTATCGGTGATTTCTTACTTGTGTTGTATGTTCCTCTGTTTTAATAATTACAATAAAGTCATGTAATTTACTACTTCCAGAGCACATCAATATCACAAATAAATTTTACTGTACTTGCATGTTGCCACACCCCAATCGCAATTGCACGTATGAAATGTTGCTAGGAAACTGAATCCTTTACAATACAAGAGCTTCTTGGAATCAAGGACCCTCCAGTAACCTTTAAGTTGGTTGATTTACCAGAAACGTATGTATTTTATTTTTGAAGATAAATGAATACGAGACCTTTCACAAAGTTGACAGACCTCTGCCGAGTCCCCGGAGGTACTTTTGATGCACCGTTAGGGTAGAAGGCATCACACGGTCGCCCGAACTTCATTCCCCCCGCCGGTGCATTTTATACGTTCATCTAAAGGGCCCACGCGCGCCCTGGAAGGTCTGCTTCGGACGAAACTCCATGTTTTTAGAACTGAACCCACTTATCGAACTGGGCAATTTCCTACCAAATGTAAGGTGGGAGTCATTCGTGATCTCGTATTTATTGTAAGTTTTTTAAGTAATCTATGACTGAAATGAAAATAAACTTTGCCATTCCACGATTGTACTATTAACCAGTGTCGAAGATGAAGAGTAATCTGGGAGACTCAGAATACCGAAAATAACTTTAAACAAAATCTGTCTTTGTGTGTGCCTATATTCATTTTTTTTACTTTTTCGCTTTACGAATTCTTCGTAAGAAGACAAAGCTATGAAATCGTGAGGCAGGAAAGGCCGAAATTCCGCCAGAAAAAACTTATTACTGGGCTCTGATAAAGTAGATAAATCCTGTTGCTAAATTTAGAAAAAAATCCTCAAACTCGTGGTGTAGCCATAATCCATGTTTTGTTGATTCTTCATACCGAGAAATCGTTTGACGGCAAAACGTCCGTCCGTCCGTCCGTCCGTCTGTCCGTCTGTCTGTCTGTCTCTATGGATGATTGTCCGCTAGCGGATAAACAGTTCAGCCGATTTTCTTCAAAATTTATAGTCCTCAATCAATCTGAATGATCTCGTGGATTTGGGAATTTCTAATGGATATTTTGATTTTTGAGGGCCAATCACATGATTCCTCAAACACAGTTTCAAAATTTTCTCAAAATCGGCTACATTTTTAAAAAATTAAACTCAATAGTGCAAAGGACCTTTACGACAATGGTTCTGATCTCATTTTTGCTGACTTCTCCGATTTTTCGAAAATTGCCAAAATAAAAAGTTTGCAGATATAGGTTTTTGGCAGAGACAAAGCATGTAAAAAAATTAGTCTTTAAAAAGGTCTTTTTTTTGTGAAAGTAGTTTTTGGGTAATTTGCGCTAGAAATTTACGATTTTTTTTCTTCTCTAAAACCGCTCCAAATTTTTCTTTAAATTTTCTCCACACTTGGAATAAGAGACGGTAATAAATATGGTGCTAGTCTCCTTTTGTGGAATTGCTCGATTTCTTAGAAAATTACAAACAACAATTTTATAAGTACAAAATTAGAGATTTTGATAGAAGATAGATAGAAAGATAGAGGTTTTTGTCTCTGGCAAAATCTGTTGTACAAAATTACCATTTAAAAAATGTAATAATCAATGGTTTTTTTAAACGACTAGTTTTGGTGTAACTTGCACTTAAAATTTACGAAAAAAGTTCTCAAAAACCGCTCCAATTTTTTTTAATTTCTCCACATTTGTAATAAAGAACGGTACGAAATATGGTGCTAGTCCCATTTGAGGGTATTGCTCGGTTTTTCGAAAATTGCCGAAAACTATTCAAAACTACAAAATAGAAGTTTTTTTGCCTCAGAAAATGTTTAAAATTATCTTTTTTAATAAATAAACTAGGTGCTATAGAATGGCACAGACGTTCTCGCAATATTTAGTTTTTTTTATCTCTTTACTCAAAACTAGGATTTCAGTTGTGACTGATTCTCTTCCCAGATACGTTCTTTGGTCGGCCAATGGAAATTTTTTTCACTTTTTCTCGATTTTTAGGCTTCCTAATGCTACAACTGAAATCATCATACGCTTATTATTATTATTATTATTATTATTATTATTATTATTATTATTATTATTATTATTATTATTAATATTATTATATAAGTGTAAAACCCATGTGCTACCCAGATGGCCAAGGTGGCTAATTGGTGTTTATAGATTCACCTCTTTGGAGAGGAAGATTGCTGGTTGGAGTCTTTTTTATTTATTTATTTACGTCAAAAACAATTAAAAACTGTGAGTGGCGTGTTATGGGGAGAAGTTAAATTGAAGTTTCATTTATGTCCAGAAGCAAAGCAAGGGACCATTAAGCATTTGCTGAGGATCAGGGAAACTGGACAAAAACGTGATAGATATAGGGGTCATTGACCAAGAAGCTGAAGTACAATACTTGTTACAGGTTCTTTAGAATTATACAACACTAATGGTAAATAACACACTAAATGTCGTTGTTAAAATTAATATTACTTTCCTTTTGGATGCTCGGTATAGTCTCTAATTGTATAAAATCAGTTGTGCAGCAGAAAATATTTTACTTGGGACTTAAACTTTTCTATCGAATTTAATCGTTTAATGTCATCTGGCATGATGTTGAAAAATAATGTACATGTACTGTGTGTGAATTTTTTGTAGTGAGCTGTTGATCCTGTCATCTGATGAATACGATTACTACGTCGAGTGTTGTAGACATAGAAATATTTTTAACAAAAACCACTGATTCATATATGAAGAGACAATGTGATGGTAAGATTCCTAGATTAATAAAGAGAGGCTTGAATGGTATTTGCTTATTATTCGTACAATTCTTTTTTGTAATCTGAGTCTCGGAGCTATAACATGAATTTTCCCAGAATATTTTGCCTTATCTCAGGCGGGAATGAACATTCGCGAAATATACACAACCAGCAGTATCGAGGCTTACTGAATTTGAAAGAATTCTGAAAGCGTAGCATAAAGAATTTAATTTAGTGTACAATTCATTTCAATGGACTTTCCATTTAAGGTTTCAATGAATTATAAGACCTAAAAATGTTATCTTTACACTAGTCAATGGAACACCGTTCATTTTCAATGGAGTACAGAGCTGTTAATTTGTAATGGAACACTGCATTGAAACTGTTTTATTTTAATTTACTATTACTTTGTTATTACGGAAACAATTATAAATATCTGATATTATATTATTTACGGTTTTTTATTGCAAAGAATATTCGTATCTTCCGCAAAGAGAACTGTTCTTCCTTTCTAATCATCGAGGGCTTATC